ATTTTGGGCTGGGTATGTAGCTCAGTGGAACAGCACCTGCCTGGCAAGCACAAGAGTCCTGGTATCAAAAAAAAAGAAGAAGATAATATCATATGTTGCTAGCCCAGGAAAAGATCTAAATTCAAAATATAAAGTACCGTTTCTACTAAACGCACTTTCCTTTGAATCACTGTAAAATCAAGCCGTCTTATACCCAACCATCCTACGTCAGGCACTATCTTATATGCATGACGATACCCTAAGTGTTTGCACTGTTTGTGGGGCAAGGCTACTTAATAAACTTTGAGCATTTTTACAGAGATAGACTTGTGCTTTTTTTTTTTCCAACTCAGTTTTCTAAAGCTACAACAGGGAACAACCTTGCATCAGAATCTCCAGCTATTAAAATGCAACAAACTTCCCCCTAAAACACAAAAGAGACCAGATCAAGCTCAGTGTGGTGGTGCACACCTATAATCTCAGCACTGTGGGAGGCAAAGGCAGGAGGATGCAAATTTAACCCAGCCTGGGCAATTCAGTGACTTAGTGAGACCCTGTCTCAAAATAGTAAATTTTAAAAAGTTCTGGAGATGTACCTAAGTATGGGGCTTATTCCCCACTAACATAATAGATTAGATAGGTAGATAAGTGTGTGTGTGTAGGTGGGTGGATGCATGGATGGATGGGGCTAGGGATGTAGCTCAGTGGCAGAACACTTGCCTAGCAAATACAAGGTCCAGGTTCAAACCCTAGTAGCAAGGAAAAAAAATTGTTGTGGGAGAGCTAGGACTGGAAAATCACCCAGGATTATCTTCACAAGGGTCACCTTACTTGTTAATGTTGCTGCCTTCTTTCAGTCGCTCACCCGCAGCTCCGGTTTTAGACACTCTTTCACTCCCCGCCAGGTCTACCAAGCTGACCTTACTGACCTTCTCTCCCGAGTTCTGGTTGTAGGAAACAAGAGAGAAACGACACATTACTGCAGATACCACATGGTATCTATACATCTGTCAGCACTATGACTGAGAGCAACCCCACAGTCCATACTACTCTAGTGCAGCAAATTTCTCTAGACTTTAAATAGTCCAAGATTTTCATTTCAAAATTTAAACTGGTGTAGAAATGTAGAACCTTGTTCTGCAGCTGGGCAGCAAGTACATCCAGCTTTCTGAATATAGCCTGAGAGCTGGAGACTGGATGTGCCTCTGAGGAGATATTAGGACATGAGGATTCCTACATATTTGGGTCAGTTTCCTCTTCTGAGACGTAACTTTTTAGGCTGTTAGTTTTCTCTTTAATAGGCCTCAAATAGACCTTGGGATTTTTCGGACAATTTCAGTATGAAAGGATACATATTAAAAGGTGTATATGATATTTAGAGTGTTTATAGATAAAATCCAATTTTAAAAAAAGTGATCATATAAAAAGCAGACCTAAGAAAGTAAGTGATTTAGGCAAAGCAGCTCACAAGTAAGCAGAAGAGCAACACAGAATTCCCAGCTACCATATCCAACCGTGTGACTTACTTCCCCAGTGTAGACACTCTGGGCCCCCCACTTGTAACATTCTGCCCAGTCCCTCACCCCAGACTGCAGGTCATACAGTGTCTGTGTGATGATGATGTTGAACACAGCATGTGAGCGGCTGCTTTCTTCATTCATGTTGGTTGCAGCTACTGTTCGAGATTTATTTCCCTCAGACATCAATGACTCAATATCCTGGAGGCAAAGCATCGGGGAAAACACCGTAAGCAAAAACGCAAGGACAAGTTCTGGTTCCAGGTGTGTGCATGCAGTACGATTCCCACCACCTCTGTCACCCTTCCACAAAGCCCCTGCCTCTCCTCCACCGAGTACGGCTCAACGCCTGCCTCCTCAGAGCTCTCAAGTCTATGAAACATCCCCCATTCTTCCCACCCACCAAATGGCTTCTTTCCCAGTTAAGACCTCCACTTTACTCCTTTGTAAGTTCCCTGGAGAGCCGATACTGACTGAATACTCCAGACACTCGGAAACAGCAGTCACTTTATTTAATCCTAACTGTCCTGTGCTTATCGCCTGATACAGCTGTCTACCACTTGCTTATCTGCCTCCTCCCCCAACGCCGTGGCTTTCCAATGGAAGGGGAAGTCCTTTCAGCATGTCTCGACACTTATGCATGGGCTCTTACTAAATGTCTGCTAAATGAACCTTATGGAAGGGATATTTTCCTGCTTTTATACACAAAGATGCTGACATTTATGGAGGGCAGATAACTTTCTCCACATCTAGTATAAGACAGATCAAGATAGGATGCAGATAAGAATTCACTGGCTCTTACTAGTAAGTGACAGGATCACACACACACACACACTGACCTCTCAGTGACAAGAACTTAGTGAAGGTCCTGCCTTAGCATCTTTAGGTCAGAAAGGTTTCCAATCATTTTAGAATCTTTATGCTTTTCAAGTGACAACTATGCCCTATTTTTAATTATTCCTCATTTGAGAAATATTACATACATCTTCATTTAAATAGCTGGAGAGAGTTGGCTCACAGATTAATTTTAGTCATACTAAGTCTAAGGTGGTAAAGGATTGTCCACATCCCTTAGATGGCCAATAAACATAGGCATTCGTGAGTTCATTTGTCCATTCATTTACATTCTTCAGCATTGGAGATAGAAGTTTGTTACAAGATTTCCAAAGCAATGATTGTAGAAATAAGGGCAGAAAATTGAGTCCAGAAATTCAAGTCAAAGAACAAGAAATGGTAAGTGCAAGAAAAGAGGACTGACTCAAAAAAACAGGAGCCATAAGTGTGAAGAGTGACAGAAATGAAAGCAGGAGAAACTTGTCAACAAAATGAGGTTGGATTCTCTCTTAAATACTACTGTTTAGACTACCAGATTAGTCTAGAAAGATGTCACTGGCAGCCTAGGGAGAACAGCTTCAATAGAGTAGTATTAGTGAAAATATTCAGCAATGTCAAAGAGCTGGATATTTTGGCCACACAGTGAAACCTTCACAAGCCAGCTTGGAGAGAGTAACCTTTCTCCCTGGGGTGTGCTGATGTGGTAATAAATTCTGATCTGCTGCCAGCTTTTTAATGATATTCTTCAAAAATGACACTTACCTCAAAACTAGTGACCGCCAGCTGAGATAAACCATCTACATATGGTCCCAATACTTTATGCTCTCGAACTTTAAGAGACTGTCTACTCCTTCAAGAGAGAGAAAAAGGAATGAATGAATCAGACCAAACTTGGAAGCCTTTTCTTTCTTCTTACATACTCAGAAGCTAAGATTAAAATTTCAAAAGGGAAATTTTTAATAATTAGAAAAAGTATCCTAAAAGTTATTTTTTTGGATTAGCAAAGTGGCATTCCATATAAGGAATGTCTTTTATACTTTCATTTCTATTTAAAGGAACGTACTATTTAAAAATTCTGGGCTGGGGATTTAGCTCAGTGGTTCTGCTGCCTGCCTCGCAAGTGCAAGGGCCTGAGTTTGATTACTGGTACCAAAAAAAAAAAAAAAAATTCTAACTCTAGTCCCAAACTAAACAGCCAGCACATCTGTATGCTGGTTAGGCTAACTGGTGTTAGTAGATAAACTTCAATGAAACAAAGAGGAAAAAAGAAAGCAAAGAAAAAAGTGTAACCTAGAGATGATTCATAAGCAAGCACATTCTCAGTAAATGTTTTAAAATTTCTGAAAAAAATGCTTTGCATTTTAATTTATTTCTTCAAGTTACAGTGATTTGTAGTACTTCTATGTTGACAATTTCATACAGTGAAATTACAGCTCAGGGAGTCTGTAGCCACTGGTATTTATTCTATATTTAGAACTGGCAGGCTGGGGATTTGGCTCAGTGGTTCCACCGCCTGCCTTGCAAACACAAGAACCCAAATTGGATCCCCGGTACCAAAACAAAACAAAACAAAACAAAAAACTGGCTTGACTGGTAAAAATTTTAAGAGGAGTCTATTAAATTTTTAAGTGGCAATTCTGGTTTGGAACTTATCTGAAGAATTTATCAACAGATAACTGAGAATAAAAACAAAGTTATATATACATATTTTCACCATATCATATATGATTTCTTTTTCATGGCATTGGATATTAATCATCTTTCAAATTGAGAGTCAATGTTTGGTATCATTCAAGTGTGGAAAAAAAACGAACGGAGAACAGTGAGTGTTTTCCAAGGCCTTGGCACTGTTCACTAAGCACTTTGCCGTGATCCCATCTAATCTCCTGGCAGTGTTACAAAGTAGGTTGTACTACATTTAAGGATGAAGAATTCAATGTGACATGAGAGATTCTGCTGGACTCTAAGCAGCAATGCCCATCTTTAACACAGCTACTGTGACGCATCTGATCCAGCCCTTGTGCACTCTGCTTGAATGGCATCAAGAGTCCGTGCTGGTGTCTAACACCCGAAATTCCTGTACCCTGCTGCTGGGAGTGTAAAATGGTATAACCACTATGCACTACTTCCTAAACCGAAACTCAGGATCTTGGGACTCACCCCCCACCCCATACCTCCTACAAACTCTGCTCTTGTGCATCAGGAGCCTGCAGAAGGACGCTCGGAGCAGCACTTAACAGCGAAAGTGAAAACCATGCGAATGATGAGGGAAGAGATAAATTATGGTGCAATCATACAACGGAATACTAAACAGGAGTAAAATTAACACATTACTACTTTAGAAATGAGAATAAATAAATTATTATGGTAAAGAAAGAGAGAAAATCACCAAAGAACATGTAGACCATGATACTGTTTGCACAAAGATAAAACTTATGTGAGATTATGTCCAGATACTAAACAAAGGGAAGAAAATGATGAACATGAAACTGCTAATAGTAGTTACTTTGGGGAAAGGTAAGAAAAGGAATGAAATTAAGGAGGAAAGTATAGGGGCTTAAAAATATTGCTCAAGTTTCATTTATTAAGCTAAGGCAGTTACTGACTTTATCATTCTTTATTCCTTACAGTATTAAAAATGTTCTTTTGTATGCCTCAAACGGTAACACTTTAAACAAACATTTATGATTGCATTGCTTTTTTTGTTTTGTTTTGTTTTTTGAGACAGGGTCTCACTATGTAGTTGACACTGACCTGGAACTCACTATGTAGCCCAGGCTGGTCTTGTATTCACAGTGATCCTCCTGCCTCAGCCTCCCAAGTGCTGGAATTACAGGCATGCGCCATCACACCCAGCTGCATTACTTTCTTGACACCTATCATTTCTATTTTAAATGATTGTTTCATCCAATGTGGACTTATAAATGGTCAAAAATGTTACATAAAATACAGAGGCTAAAATAATTTAAAACTAATTTTCATATGCTCATAATTTTATTTATTAATATTTTTGCAGTACTAGGGATCGAGTTCAGGACCTTGTGCTTGTGAGGCAGGCACAGCATGACTGAGTTAAATCCCTGGCCCTATTCACAATTTTAATACATTCATCAGGATGGTAAATTCAGGATTCTAAACTGTATTTATAGAATGATTTCAAAATGTGAGCATGACACACATCAAAGTATTAACAGTGGGGGCTGGAGATTTAGCTCAGTGGTTGTGCCGCCCACTGTGTGCAAGAACCCGAGTTCAATCCCCGGTACCAAAAGAAGAAAAAAAAAAAGAAAAAAGTTTTAACAGTGGTTATTTTTGAGTGGAAGGATTAAGTCATTTTTACCTTTTCTTGCACTACCTTTTTTTCTAAATTTTCTACAAATACATACTACTTTAAAAACAGTATGAAAAAATTTTTTAGGGCTGGGGATTTAGCTCAGTGGTTCGGTGGCACAAGGACCCGCGTTCAATCCCTGGTACCCAAAAAAAAAAAAATTTTTTTTTATATTGGGGAAAGAAGTAATTGGCTGTCTTTTCTCTATAGACCAAACTCATCTAATTTTTATCATTTAGTTTAAAAAATATACAGAAGGTTGGGTTTCATCCTGGACCAACTGAATCATCCTGTATGGGTGAAGCTGAGGCCAGGAACACTTGAAAAGCCCCCATGCGGTTCCAGCGCACCCCACCAAAGGGTGGGTTGTTTCAATCCTTCAACTATCTGCCTTCATTTAAAGGAGCTACTTTCCGATACAAATAGATAGAGACCACTCTGTCATCAGTAACTCCATTTTTTTTTTACTAGTCTATGACAGCAAAAAATTTAACCCATAGTAAAAACACTTTTTCATGAGGCATATATAAGCAGCTCTATTCATGACCACAGGATGAACTGAACATGATCTGGGCATGGTGGTAGGCTTTGAGAGCTGATGATTTCCCAGTAAATACACTGAAAGTAGAGTAGTGACCAGTGGCTCCCAACCATATGTTCTTGCAATTTAAATTTTATACTTATTTTAGGGGTTTTTTTTTTTGGTACTGGGGATTGAACTTGGGTCCATGAGCTTGCAAGGCAGGTGCTGGAACCACTAAGCTCAGTCCCCAGCCCCTATTTTATACTCATTTTAAATGATTACTCCTACTTACCAGCTTAATTTCAACCACTAACTTACCCTTTGGGGTCTAAAAGATCACGAACTTTCTCGTTATAAATTTCCATATAGGATACTTCAACTTTAAAAGTCTGTGACTCATTTTGCTCCACAGAGATCCTCTTAAATAAAGCACAGCAGAGCCTGGGAATAAGGCCCAGCTGCTCCGCATGGCCCATCATAGAGAAGGACTTTCCTGAACCTGAAAAGAGTAAGCAGAAATGAAGTAGGGCAGAAGAGGAAGCTACATGTAACGCTTCAACCATATGAGTTCTCCTCATATATCAGCCAAGGTCACAGAAAAAACATGTAAACTTGGTGCCCAAACACCTTTGAAATTGTCAGAGCTCAGAATGTTAACGTCTGGGCCACTAGTATGGTTTCGTTTTGCTTGTTTCCACGAATTGCTTGACCAGCCTTGATTTAATAATCCATCATCATCTTCATATCCTAGCAAAAGTTCTCAGTATGGAATGATTCTAAGAGTTTCTCTATAGTTTTCACCATATCATGTATACTGAGAAAGTGGCAATTATTTTTCCAGTTTAAATACAAATTAAAGCTATAATTTAGGAAAATGACACTTAATAGTTTGAAACTAGCTTTGCTTATTAACACTGAAATAACTCAATTGCCAGAACTGCTGCACCTTCAAAAAAGATTAGTTTTTCTTTTTTTCTTTTTTTTTTTTAATTTTTTTAAAATTTTTGGTACCAGAGATCAAACTCAGGACCTTGCGCGTGCAAGGCAGGTGGTGGAACCACTGAGCTAAATCCCTGGCCCAAAAAGATTAGTTTTGATTTTATAATTCAGTTAAGCCCACAAAGTCAGAAGTATTTTTCTGTTGCTTCTCAAACTTTTGGCTATTTTTAACCTTTAAGAAATGTATCTTTAGGAATGGGGGTATAGCTCTGTGGGACAGCTCATACTTACAAAAGAGACAGAAAGAAGAAAAAGAGAGAAAAGGCATATTTAATATCACTGATTGTAGCAATAAAAGCAACTCCTTACCTGTCTGTCCATATGCAAAAATACAAGCATTATACCCCTGAAAGGCTTTTTCAAGAATTCCTTCCCCAAGGCACTTGAAAACCACTTCTTGACCTAGAAAACCAGACAAAAATGAAAAACTAAGGATGATTTTTCTTGATGTATTCTGTATTAACAGTAGCCTATCAGGCCCCATTCCTCCATGTCAAATGTGTATTTAATGCCTGCTATGTATGGATCCATGTATTAAGAGCTTAAAATATGCAGTTTTATTCTCCTGCCCACCGGGCTGGTCTCAAGCTCCTGGGCTCAAGTAATCCTTCTACTTCAGTCTCCTGAGGAGCTGGGGAACCGAAACATGCCACTGTATCTGCCTTACAGTTTAATTTTTGCTTCTAAACTATATATAGTTTAGTACCTGGATAAATTTCTGATTCTATCCCTCTTTGACATTTCTCTAGGTATTAAAGTTTATTTTCCACAGTCAATGGGCCACATAGAGGTATCTTTCAAATTTGATTTAATTCTTCTTGGGACTTAAGTCTCTAAAAAGAAAAATCATTAAATATGAATTGCCTTCTCTCCTTTTCTGGATTTGGAGATTCCAACGAACAGGAATTGCGTCACACGCTTCCTTGCACTCCTCAGCACTCAGCACAGATGCTAAGAGCTGACAAATCATTCACGGGTGATGGTGGAGTGATGACTTCAGCTGGGTGGGCAGAGTCCCAGGAACCCCTCACCAGAGGCAGAGGTGCGTTCCACTACCAGAACCTCTCTGCATTCTCCTGCTGTCCTTGGGGGCCTGCTGTCACGTATTCTACCAGAAGAGTAAAGGCGTGACAAGATGTTTAAAAATATAAGGTAGCATTTAATTACCCTTTGAAATGAGGGACTTTCTAACATACACTTCCATCATTAAGAGAATTAACATTATATTCTCCTTCCTCTGTGCTCCAGTAGTCTTACAACATTTCACTGTTTCAGCATCTGCAGAAACCACTGGCTTAAGTGCCTGTTTCCTCCACTGGAATGAGATGTCAGAGACATAATCTCTTTATCTTTGTAATCCTAGTGCCTGGTACCAGTTGCTTAATAAATGTTTGCTGAAAGAATGAGTCAGTTTAATAATTTTATCCTACATGACACTTGAAAAGCCTTTTTCATTGGAAAATAGCATCTGGTTGTATATTTTTCTTTTATGCAAAGTTGGCTCTGATTTGAGCATTATATTATGATATATTTTGATTGAAGGATCCTTCAAAGCGTGTCAAGGTAAAATTAGAAAATATTTTCAATCATTTTGCTGCCAAAAAATAAGATTTTGATAACATCAAATATTACTGGATTGAAGAAACAATTATTTTTACAAACTGCCAGTAGAAGAAAAACAGATGTGGCCATTCTGAAGGAAAACACCTACAAAAAGAAATATGTCTACCCTTTAACTTCGGTGCATATCTATCCCAAGAGTGCCCTGTTCAAGGACACCTTGGCAGAATTATTTATAATACTGCAAATCAAAGTCAGATTAAGCACCCATCCATTCCCATGCTACTGGGATAAGCAAAATGTAACTATTTTAAGATGGAATACTATACGACATTAAAAAATACAAAACTAAATAAAGTGCACTCTTGGGTAAACAGTGCAAGAATTAAAAACCATTGTTGAGTAGTATTTTTAAAAGCCATGTTCAGAACTCTACATGCAGTGTAAAACCTTATATAACACAATGGGTGATATGGATGCTAAAGTATTTAAAAAAGGGACTGAAAAAATTATGCCAAATTTACATTACTGTATATCTCTAACTTCTACCTTGTACCACAGAGCCTAATACCTAAGAGATATTCAAAGCAAACTGGCAGTATTATGTGGATTTCAAAATGTGCATGTGCATTCTTAAGAGGCCTTTTATTAATTTGTTTTTTTGGTACTGGGGATCGAACTTAGGACCTTGCACTTGCCAGGCAGGCGCTGTGCCACTGAGCTACATCCCTGGTCCCTAAGAGCCTTTTAAAATGTACAGTTTGCTAAGATTATCTAAAGATCTGTGTGAGCATACACATATATCAGTACTTGAAGAATGCAGTATTATCATCATCACTATCCACTACACAAACACTTTAAAAACTGCTTTTATGTTATAGTCAAATGCAACAGTCTTGTGCTCACTGAGAAAGTATCTCATTTTCTCAAAGGACCTTCCTTACTCCACATAAATTCCTAACCCCCCTGGCAAAAGATAGCCCTTAAATCTGGAGCTGAGCCCCAGCCCAGAGAAGATGCAGAATTAAGCTCAGTCTGTGCTTGGGCTTCTTAGAGTTACTGTGGTCCTCAGCCAGACCCAAGTGCCACTTGAAGGAGTCCTTAAAAGCAAGGCTTTCTTGGCACAGAGACTGAATGGAGCAATTCTGCTGGATCTTCCACAATGGTTAACCAGTCTCCGGGAAGGCATGGGGTAAGGCTAGGTCAAGCATCCTGAGTATAATTTGTGACTTCATTCATATTTTGTCCATCCAAGTTCATGTGTTGGGAATTTAACCCGAAATTCAAGTGTGTTTTTAGGTAATAGGCTCATGTCATTATCATATAAGAGGGTCTGTTGCAAAAGTGAGTAGGACCCTCTCCCGCTCGCCACGTGATACCTTCTGCCATGTTATGAGGCAGCAAGGACCCTCTACAGATGTGGTCACTTCATCTCAGACTTTCTAGCCTCCACAATTGTGAGCTAATACATTTCTATTCTTTATAAATGATCCAGGCTCAGGAATTATTTCATAGCAGCACAAGACAAACCAAGATGAAGAGCTTGTGCTGCCGAAATGACTCAAATGCAGGGAAGCACTGTGGTCAGAGGCTTTTGACATGGCTTCAAAGAGCCTGGAGTCATTAACCAATCAAGAATTTATATCTGTTGCTCTATCAAGTAGTGAAATGTAGAACTTCTGATGGCTGCTCCTGATACTGAGTAAACTGGAATTAGGAGCAATTTTTTTCTCATGTTCTTTCAAGAGAAAATTACAATGTCTCCTTTTCTTTGGTAGATATGGTCTTTCAAACTGAAGATTAGTTGGAAAAACAAGAAAATCAAACAAATTAGGATATGTATTCTAAAGTTACATGAAAATAAATCAAATGATCAAAGAATTCTCCAGCATATGAATATATAAGAGCAAAATTTCATTTAGCTTATGTCCAAATTATTGCAAATACTAAGTAGGACATGAAGTAACCAATTTAACTTGTACTTATGCTGCTAAGGATAAGGAATTTTTATCCACCGTCCTGTTTGCAATGCACATTACCTATTTTATACCACCAAATCCTCACAAAAGTAGTACAGGTATAAATTATGATTAATAAGCCAGGTATGATAAGCACACATGTTAATCCCAGCACTCTGGGAGGCTAAGGTAGGAGGATCACAGGTTGGGCAACTTAGTGAGACCTTGTCTCAAAAAAAAAAGGTAAAGTAAAGGGCTCATGAGGTAGCTCGGTACGAAGGCCCTGAATTCAATCCTTAGTACCACAATGTGGGGGAGGGTAAGGGTAAATGGGGCTCTGAAAGCCCCACAATCTCCTTGTTAGAGAGTGGCAGGGCTGAGCTGGCCCACCCTGGCTCCTGAATGTTTAGCCTAATGTTCACCCATCAACTGCCAGTTCCCTGCAGCTCCCTGCAGAGGGGCCTCTGTATCTTCAGTTCAAGGCAACAAGTTCCTGTGTTGACAGTCTCAGGCTAATGTATTTTTAATTGAGGGCCCCTTTGTCCTAACTAGGGATGATTAAATTAGTCAAAGACTGTTCTTTGAAATGAAAAAGAAATGTTAATTGTATTAGTTTACATGTTGGTCACAGCATGTTTCTGAAACTCTAAGGAGCGCAAAGCACTAGAAGAAATTTTGGTCAAATAAGCCAGCAGGGTGTCAGCACAGTACAGATGGACTAACTAGATAACCTGGATAGAAAGTGACAGTCCACTCTGTGGACCTTACCTGTGGTCACCTCCAAAGCAGTGCAACAATAAAGGTATGCAGGGGAAATTACTCTGATTTCTGCTAAACATATCCTTATGATTTCAGAATGCAGTCAAGTTCTCTTATAGCTATGCTTGACTGATAAAATATAATTCAGATTTATCAAATTTAATAAGATTTTATTCACACCTAAGGAAAAATTTTGAGAAAATGAAATATTAAAAAATAGAAAAGCATTATACTGTTTCTGAAAAGATTTTGTTCTCTTCCCTCCTTAAATTGACTATCCCAAGAGGAAGCTTATAAAATGATAAAATATAAGAGCGAGAAGCAATTTAAATATGTTCAGGGACCATTTTCATCTCCAGAATTAAGGATTATTTTGATGTTACATCATTGCCTTTTCTCTTTTACTTTCCTTTTTAGTTTTATTTTAGGAGTCCCTATTTTTAATGTTCATACAGAGATTTCTTTAACTGAAATACCGAATATAGTTTCTTTGGTGTGAAAAACTACAATAGTACACAGGATCCTAATGAGATAATTAATAATGTGAAAGAGGAAGTAAAGGGCTAAAGGTGTAGGGAAAGTGGGAAGGGTGGGGGAAAGGAAATAAGGGAGAGGAAAAAAATATGAGAAACTGAAAAAATGGAAATAAAGTGTTTGTAAATGGGGAGGGGAGGAGGGGGTGAAGGGAGGGCAGGGACAAGGGGAAAAATGAGAATCAAGACCTACTATGTAAAGGTACAGAATCCCAATGATGAATGTAATTGTATTGTATACCTAGATTGTACCAATAAACTCAATAAAAAGAAAAAAAATGATAAAATATAAAGAGCTATTATAAAGTTCATATATTTTTAAAATTATAAGCATTCTAGAGAAATTGGAATCCATTTTCTTACTATCGCATCATGTCTCAAAGGAAATATATTTTCTTTTGAGGCATGAAATAATGAACAAAATTCTCTACAAATATACATCAACATTAGCATTTTTAATAGCTCTTCAGCTTTCCATTGTATGAAAAACTTTCCCTATACAGATATTTAGATTTCTCTTTATTTTTCTGAAATATTTATCCTTACATCTTTATCTCTATGCATTTTCCTATTGACTTTGTGAAGCAAAACT